AATAATATATATATATATATAAATAAAAAAACTAAATAAACACGATAGTCAATTAATAACGGTGGAGTTGTATTAATAGGGAAGACAAAAAAAGTGTTGACTCAAAATCTAATTTGAAAATAACAACACGCATGCACACACACACACACACACACACCCACACACATACAAATATGTATATCTACAGTACATACCTACGCATACAAACAAACAAATGATTAGATACTCTAGCAGCAAGATGAGTAAGTCATATTTCAAAGATAACATATCTAGATCTCGAGATGATGGCGTTGAGTCAGATCCAATATTCACCGCGTTCAGCCACAGCTCCAAAGTTTAAAATAATTTAAAAAAAAAATAGCTTATTTAATAAAAAACAATTAATATTTCATTTAGAAGATTTAAAATTGATATATACATAACCAAAATATAATCTAAAAATTAATTAATTTACGAAAATACATTTACAAAACCCACACACACACACACGTATACAAACATGTACATACGTACAAACATAGATACACACACACAAACACACACACACACACATTAATATAGAATGCTGATTAAAAATACGCCTAACAAGAAACCATCATCCACTTTTTATATTACAAAAAACCAATTCCCAAAATAAAGGAACAAAAAAAAGATCATATATCTTCAACATTCATTTTTCCCGCGCTATTTATTTCTTTGCTGACGGAAGCGGATGATGACGTGACTAGAATATTGACGTCATTTGTGTAGTTCGGAGATTTGCGTTTTTTATTTTTGGAGCCTGAAGTCTGCTTGTGGTAGACTCTGATGAAGAGCGAGGCAAATACAATGGCTACTCCTATGCCACCAGCTACTGTCACCTAGATGGATGGATGGATGGATGGATGGATGGATGTATGGATGGATGGATGTATGGATGGATGGATGTATGGATGGATGGATGGATGGATGGATGGAAGGACGAATGAACGAACAATTGAATGAATGAATAAATGAGTGAATAGGTAGGTTGGATTGGCGCAATGAATAATGAAATGTTGATCTAAAATTTTTAATTACAAATCAAAAGCCTAAATAAATAAAATAAATAATTAATCACACACACACAAACATACACACACACACACAAACGAACCTGATGTCCATAAATTATGCACGACAGCAAAATAGCCAAACCCTGCCTAATAGTCATGACGATGGTGAAAGTGGCCGGCCCGAAATTGGCGATGGTGGCGAAGATGAACAACTGACCAATGGCAGAGGTGATTGAGAGAATGAGAATATGAAGAGTGAAGGATGGATGACGCGAGGCGAAGCTTAACGCCTCCGTGAATGTCCCTGCATGACGTGATCAGATCACGTGATGTGACTATGACGTAGATGATGACGACTGGAGCGATAATGACGATGATGGCGACGAACGTTCGTAACGCAAGAATGACGTGAAGATGATGATGGCAAGTAGATGACTAACGGAAAAAAAACATGAAAAAAAGATATTTTAGTAAAATAAACAATTACGAAAAATTAACAAAAATCGAATTGAATTGAATTGAATGGAAGAAGAGTAACAGAGCAGACGGGCAAGCGAGCAGCAAACCTTGCTCCATCAGTGACACCCAAGTAAGCAAGACAGAGAAAAAGTTGACACCTGCCATCATCTGCAGTGACGTCACCTGGTCGCATTAATTCAAGTTTTTTTTTAATTTCGCAACTTTTATCGAAAAATTATTGAAAATTATTCATGGATAACAAACACCACAATGAACCCATCAAAGAAGCCTTCAAAATCGCAAGAAATGACCTTGAACTTATTGAAGAGGTCATCTTGCCAGTTGGACGTGAACGAATCAAACATGAGGTAGCCGATGAGGATGACGACCCCAGAGATGCTGGTGTGGGTGCTGTCCGATGACTTAGAACCTGCTCGGCATTCAATTGCGTACTTGTGAGTGAGAGATTGAGAGAGAGTGAGAAAGAGTGAGAAAGAGTGAGAAAGAGAGAGAGAGAGGAAATAAAGAAAAATGATTATTTGCTTAGGTTTCAGACGAACTGATGAATGAATGGAAAGTGTTATAAATAGATTTTTCAAGTAGTTACACTCGTACACTGTAAACAATAATCATCATCAGCCTTCTCCTCATCATCATCCCACTCATCTTCATCATCATCATCTTCCTAACCGGAACCAGGTCCGTCTTCGCTGGTAATTAGGAAGATGAAGACCCCGGCAGATATCATGGAAGCAGTGATGTACTCAAAGACGGAATAGGACCTCCTGGAAATTACCCTGCCCATCAGCATCACTGGAATGACTTTTATCGTTTTTGCTAACACCTATGTATGTGTGTACGTATGATAAATATTTGTACAAATGTAGGTACAAATACACAGGTATGTTAAAATGCAGGTGTGTCTGTGTATACACATGAAGGTATTTAGGTTTGTGTATGTACGTACACAGCGTTGCTGTTGTTAACTACTTGTTAAGTTCTATTACAAATCTGAAAATCATTTCAACTTTTTCTTTGTTAATAAGTTACCCTGTAAGAAAACTCATGGCTCAGTTAACAAAATAGTTGACTAATTGATCAAATAACTAATTTATAAATCAATCAATCAATCAATCAATCAATCAATCAATCAATCAATCAATCAATCAATCAATCAATCAATCAATCAATCAATCAATCAATCAATCAATCAATCAATCAATCAATCAATCAATCAATCAATCAATCAATCAATCAATCAATCAATCAATCAATCAATCAATCAATCAATCAATCAATCAATCAATCAATCAATCAATCAATCAATCAATCAATCAATCAATCAATCAATCAATCAATCAATCAATCAATCAATCAATCAATCAATCAATCAATCAATCAATCAATCAATCAATCAACCAACCAACCAACCAACCAACCAATTAACCAACCAATTAACCAACCAACCAACCAATTAACCAACCAACCAACCAATTAACCAACCAACCAATCAATCAATCAATCAATCAATCAATCAATCAATCAATCAATCAATCAAGCACCACCAACTACATCCACCGAACCTGAACAGGGAAGCTGACAAACTTGAGTGCTTCATATTGGCACCAACTGCTCATGATGTTGGAGAATGAACAGTAGATGTACTTGTAGAAAGGAGCTCTATGGCAGGGCTGCTCCAACATGCGAATTCCTACAACAGCTACCACGAACGCAAGCACCCGATTGGCAAACACGATGAACTGTGAGTTGGTGAATCGTTCACCCTTCTGTCTCCCAGTCGTGTTGCTGAAATATTTGAAGATTTTGCTGGATATTTAAATTCATCAAGGCTTTCGATAAACAAGATAATATGAGCATCATCATAAGAATTGTGTCATTCACAACAAACCACAACATAAGAGCAAAACAACAGACAGTAAACAAACAAGCACATCAAAAGATGGATACCAACTCCTTATATTCATACACCATGACTCTCTCTTGCACTATGCCCCATATCAAATAAGAAAGCAGCAGGCCGCAACTGTAGAAACATAACTTGACCGTTGTGGCCACAAATTTGTTTTCAAACGAGAAAAGTGATAAAGTTGCCGATGAGTTTTGTGACGTGTTGTATGCTGGTTTCTTCATATTAATCTCTTCAAATGATGACAACTCCCTGCCATCTATGAACAACTTCAACAACTTCCCACCATACCTGCTACCTTTTTAGGTTTGATTGCAGTGACATGATATTCACATTACTATTAAATTACGGAATTAGATAAAAAAAGTAAATCAATATAATAAATGAATGATTATGAATGAATTATTTAATGAATGAATTATTAAACGAATGATTCATCTGAATTAGTTTAATATACATGTAAAATATAAATAATAACTATCATATTTTAGCCTAGCCATGAGTAAAACCACAAACAACAATCAACATAAAACATTTATATGCAATACCCAACTTGAGTTAGTTAATGGAATCAAATTAATTAATTCAATTAAGTAATTAATTATTAATGAATACAATTAATTATTAATGAACCAAATTATTAAAAAATCTACCAGCTCTTTCCAAGTACTTAGTCCTCTTTATCACAAAAACCAAAAGAAAGCAAGGAATAATAATAGTGGAATAATTGAAAAGATTTGTCAGCAGTCTGTACCACCAAATATCCTGCCATCTGCTGACAGATTGTTGAAAATCATTTCCATTTCCAACAACGGTCATTGGCATTAGGAAGTTATAAAGGAGGGAATTTGTGTCGTTTTCGTCCCCAAACTTTATATCAGATATTCCGTCAATGTTTTCCGTAGCGAAGACGACGTCACTGTTGTGAAACGTTAACAGAACTAGCAATAAAAAAGAAGTGTTGTTGTGGTTGCATGTCCAAATTTTTAACTTTCTGAAAGAAATGTATTAATAAAATGTAACCAAACTGGTATTTTTATGATACTTGTGAGAGATTTGCATGCAAATACGCTTACTTGATATAGTATGACATGATCAGTTTTAATAAATTTTCACTAAAAAACGACTTTTTTAACTGAATTAAAAATAAAATTTAAAAGTAAACCTCAAACTTGGTTACCGTCATAATTAGATCTAGATCTACTTTTAAGTCTGAGTAAAAAGTTGAAATTCATTTTTTTAATTTTATAATCCATCATCTATACAATACTCGCAACATGTGTGCTATTGCAATAATATAATCAAATAATAATTAACTCAACCCACTTGCAAATTTGTATTTCTACGTTTTAGATATTTTACATGTTTTAGGTATTTTATTTTACATATTTTAACGTTTTTATTTTACTTGAAACTTGTTCAACTAATCTCAATCCCTAACCTACCTATGAATTAAAATAAGTTCAGTAAAGAAAATAGAAACTTGAAGAGAAACATAACAACAACGACACCGAATGAATGAATGTTGTGTATGTGTGTGTTGTATTGTATTATAAACTTGTATAAAACATTAGTTCGCTCTCATCTCGAGTACTGTTCACAGGTTTGGACTCCAGATCTGCAAAATACAAAGACATTCTTGAACGGGTACAGCGTAGAGCAACAAAGATGATCGAATGCGTTGGAAAACTAGAATGAAAGAATGCGGATTAACAACACTAGAAAGCAGAAGAGATCTGATTCAGACATATAAGTTAATAACTGGAAAAGAAGAAACACCGTTCACCAGGTTCTTTCAACTAGAAAAAAGGAAAGGATTAAGAGGTCATAGATATAAGCTCTTCAAGAAGACAGAAAATCCAATAAAGCAAAGATTCTTCAGCAGCAGAGTGGTAAACGCCTGGAATGGACTGAACAATGAAATAGTCTCAGTGGATTCTATCAGCAATTTTTAAATCAAGCTAGGATAGCTAGGATACTAGAACGTATATTTTGTAGTGGTTCTTACACAGATGCTAGTCTGCTGAACCACTTTAAACTTTGTTATTATTATTATAATTATTTATTATTATTATGGATATATATATAAAATATCCATGATTATCATTAAAGTCAAATG